TTAAATTTCCTCTTTTGAATTTTTTGTTTGATCATTGTTTTTACCGAAATATTGTTTCTCATTAATGAATGGAAAATTTCTATCTTTGTTACAACTTATCATGGATGCATGTACTGAGTGTTCATAATGCAATGCATGTAATGTAATAAAAAATCATTCATTGGAGTAAAAAGGTTCTCGAAATCTCTCACTTTTGGCTTCTTTTATCAAAATTCTCATATGACCAATCTGTTCTCAACATTTGACCACAACATATTTTTTTTTCTTCAAAAATCTCCAACATTAATGTCTTGTCATGCTTTTCTCATCTTTTTTCATTTGCCTTTGTCAACTTTTAAAAAGTAATGCTAAGATCTTTCATGTTTGTTTTTCTTTTCATCATTTTAAGTCCAAGATCAATAAAATGCAATCACACATTTCTTCTATTCATATGGTGGACAAAAATGAGAATAAAGGAATGGATAGGTGTTATTTTCAAAGGAAAGATAATGTATTTTATTAGACTGGTAACAAGTACATGGTAAAGTATTTGAGTTGAAACAAAGGTGCCCAAATGATGATCGTAAGATAATCATGAGCAAAATATTCTCAGATTCTTTCTCTAAAACTAAATCAGATGACTTATTTGATCATTCAAAGTTCGTCAAACTACACTTGCCCCTGCATTGTGGGATCTTTTCTTGATGATGCTTCTGCTTCACATCCAAGCCGCCTTTTCAGGTTTTCAGCTTAGATAAGTCACCATCATTTTTTTTCTTTTTTTTTACTTTTTTTTAAGCAAAATATTTCTTTACAACATCTGAATTTATTGGGGTAGGCAAATCACCTCCGTCCATTTCTGCCAAAATCAATGCCCCACCAGAAAAGGTATTTTTCACCACATACGGGCTTTCTTAATTTGGTGTCCATTTCTCCTGATTATCAGGTTGATTTGGAAGGATTCTTTTTAGCACTAAGTCTCCTTCCCTAAAGCAACAGAGACGAGTTTTCTTGTCATGTGCTCTCATCATCCTCTTTTGATATAATTGACCATGACAAAGTGCTGACAGTCTTTTCTCTTCAATGAGGTTTAACTGCTCGTAGCGATTTTGAACCCATTCTGCTTCCTCTAACTCTACTTCCATCAGGACTCTTAGTGAGGGAATTTCCACTTCGACCAGTAGCACAGCTTTCATTCCATATACCAAAGAGAACGGTGTGGCCCCAGTAGATGTTCGGACTGATGTTCTATAAGCATGCAAAGCAAAAGGTAACTTCTCATGCCAATCTTTGTAAGTTTCAGTCATTTTTTCCAGGATTCTTTTGATATTCTTATTCGCAGCCTCCACTGCCCCATTCATTTTCAGACGATATGGTGTCGAATTACGGTGGTGGATCTTGAACTGAGTGCATACTTCATTCATCATTTTGTTGTTCAAGTTTTTAGCATTATCAGAAACAATTGTCTCTGGAAGCCCATATCTGCATATTATCTCTCTTTTTATGAACTTACATACCACAGATTGGGTCACGCTAGCATATGATGCAGCCTCTACCCATTTGGTGAAGTAATCAATCATCACAAAAATGAATCTATGCCCATTCGAAGCTTTTGGAGTGATAGGACCAATGACATCCATGCCCCACATGGAGAATGGCCACGGAGGAGCCAGAATGTGTAATGTTGATGGCGGAGCATGAATCTTGTCAGCATAAATCTGACATTTATGACATCTCCTAGCATAATCAATACAGTTGCCCTTTATTGTCAACCAATAATAGCCAACCCTCATAATTTTTCTAGCCATCATATGACCATTTGCATATGCCCCACAAACTCCATCGTGCACTTCTTCAATAATCTTCTTTGCTTCAGCTGCATTTACATATCTTAAGAGCACTTGATCTCGACCTCTTTTGTAAAGGATGTCTCCATCAAGAAAGAAACTCATAGCCAATCTTCTGATAGTTCTCTTATCATTTTCAGTTGCATGTTTTGGGTATTGCTGGCTTTTAATGTATTGCATGATATCATGATACCATGATACCATGGCCTCCCATCAACTTCTTTTTCAACACTTGAGCAATGTGCTGGTATATCTTTTACATCTAGCTTGATGGGTTGGATTTCAGTATTTGCATCTATTTTAATCATTGCAGCTAGAGTAGCCAGTGCATCAGCAATTTGGTTTTCCTCTCTGGGTAGATGCTCAAACTGAACTTCTTCAAATTGCTTGACCAACTCAGAGATGTATTTATGGTACCGAATCAACTTAGAGTCTCTTGTCTCCCATTCACCTCGTAACTGATAGATGACTAAAGCTGAATCTCCAAACACATCTAACATTTTGATCTTCTTTTCCATTGCTGCTTGTAGACCCATAACGCAGGCCTCATATTCAGCCACATTGTTTGTGCAATTAAAATTTAACCTGGCTGTGATGGGGTAATAATGTCCATCAGAAGATATCAAAATTACCCCAATACCATAACCCAAAGCATTAGCAGCTCCATCAAAATACATCCTCCATGATTCTTCAACAGGTTCATTTTCTTCAATGGCCATCACATCCTCATCAGGAAAATCTAATTTCATTGGCTCATAATCTTCGATAGTGCGATCAGTAAGGAACTCGACTACGGCACTTCTTTTTATAGCTTTTTGAGTCACATAAATGATATCATATTCTGAAAGCATAACTTGCAATCGTGCTATTCTTCCTGTCAATTAGGGCTTTTCGAAGATATACTTAATAGGATCCAGCTTTGCTATGAGCCAAGTAGTGTGATAAAGCATATATTGTCTAAGCCTTCGAGTTGTCCAGGCTAATGCATAACATATCTTCTCTAATAGTGAATACTTGGACTCATAATCAGTGAATTTTTTGCTCAAGTAGTATATTGCTTGTTCTTTCCTGTCAGTTTTATCTCTTTGCCCCAGCACACATCTCATGGAATTTTCATGCACTGTTAAGTACAAGATCAAAGGTTTGTTCGGGATTGGAGGCACCAACACAGGTGGATTTGACCAAGTATTCTTTGATCTTATCAAAAGCTTCTTGGCATTCATCATTCCATTCTCCTGGATCATATTTTCTAAGAAGCTTGAAAATAGGATCGCACTTATAGGTGAGTTGAGAGATGAAACGAGCAATATAGTTCATTCTCTCTAGGAAACCTCGTACTTCTTTTGAGGTACGAGGAGGAGATAAGTTTTGGATGACTTGTATCTTATTCGGGTCCACTTCAATTCCTCTTTCACTAACCACAAAGCCCCAATAGTTTTCCTGACTTGACACCAAATGTACATTTAGCAAGATTCAACTTCAGTTGAAATCTTCTCAACCTGTCAAACAGCTTTTTGAGGTTGACTATATGATCTTCTCTTTCATGAGATTTTGCAATCATATCATCCACATATACCTCTATTTCTTTATGCATCATGTCGTGGAAGAGAGTCACCATTGCTCTTTGATAAGTGGCACCGGTATTTTTCAATCCAAACGGCATGACTTTGTAACAGAATGTTCCCCACATGGTCACAAATGTAGTTTTCTCCATATCATCTCGAGCCATCTTGATCTGATTATAGCTTGAGAAACCATCCATAAAGGAAAATGTGGAATGCCTAGCAGTATTATCCATTAGAGTATCGATGTGAGGTAAAGGAAAGTTATCCTTAGGGCTTGCCCTATTCAAATCTCGATAATCGACACACATTCTCACTTTTCCATCCTTCTTAGGAATCGGCACTATGTTGGTTACCCATTCAGGATATTTTGCCACTTTCAAAAATTCAGCATCGAATTGTTTCTTCACTTCCTCTTAATTTTCAGCAGCATCTCTGGTTTCATGCGCCTTAGCTTTTGCTGTATCGACTTATATCTTGGTTTTAAAGGTAACTTGTGCTCTACAATATCAGTGCTGAGTCCTGACATATCCTGGTAAGTCCACGCGAACACATCTACATATTCTCAGAGCAATTCTTCTAGCTTTTGTCTTTCAGCTGGCAAAAGAGATGTACCAACTTTGACCTCTCTTTTGTCTCACCATCTCCCAGATTTACTGATTCAATAATTTCTTGGTGGGGTTCAATTGGCTTATCTTCATGTTCCATTAATTTTAACAAATCAGGAGGCAGTGTATAGTTATCTGAATCTTCCTCATTATCAAGTTCATCAACATGAATTAAGTTTTCGAAATCAAATCTAAGATTATTGTCATGATTATCTTCGTGTTCATTGTTTGGGACCCTGCAAAGGGTAAGATGAAGAGAATATTGGCACACAAAAATGGAATGGCAAAAAAAATGATGGAAAGAAAAGAATGGAAAGTAAAATGAATATGAAAATAATAGAAGAAATGCGAATGCATCTTCTAAGTCTTTTATTAAAACGACAAACATAAACACACCATAAAAGATCTCCTAATACTCGTAGAAAGTAATTAGGGATTGAAAGTTCACAGTACATTACTTTTCCAAAGTTTTAAAAATAACAGGCAGTTCTGTAACTTTCCAATTATCCAGCTCAAAATCTGAAGGACAAGGGTACACGAACAGCTCTTCACTTCGACTCTTCTTTTCTCCATCATCCACCATTTGAATGGCCAGCTCTGAAAAATTTTCCACGAATCCTACACTTGGGGCTTCCGGTAAATCTGGATAAATGTATCCTTCTGAGTGAAAAGAATCATAGAGGTATGGAATGACTGTGGGCTCTGACTCTGGCTCATATCCCTTAAGATTAGCTATCCTCTTATCTCTTTTCTCATTCACCATTCTTGTTCTATCCTCTCTCGTTGGCTTATATCCCAAGCCAAATCTGTCTCTCTTTTCATATATGATCGATGGCTCTGTGATTCCTTGCAGGTTCTTCCCAAGTCCGACTTCAGGTCACCATCCTATCTTGGTAAGCTATTTGACTACCATTGTAGTCGTCGTAGACAAGTGTGGCGAATACAATTTAGATCCTTCAGCTATATATGTTGCATTAGCAATCTCGAAGGACCGATAAGAGCATTCTAGAGCTTCAGCTATATATATTGTAGATTTGAAAGAACTCCAATCTCTGGTGGAATTTTGCCTGAAAGTTGGTTACCACTTAGAAAAAGTTTGTACATCAATGTCAATGCTCCCAATTCCTTGGGAATCTCACCAAAGAGATGATTTGAAGAGACATCGAGTTCGTGCAATTGAGTTGCATGCTTCAGCTCAGGTGGTATCTTTCCAGAAATGTTATTATCGGAGATTCGTAGGCTTGTTAGATTATGGCATTGCCCCCAGTTTGGCGATAGTTCACCATAAAATTTGTTGTTGCTTAATGCAATATAATTCAAATTAGGATATATGCCAAAAGCTTCTGATATATTTCCTGTCAACTGGTTTCCTTCAAGCCTAACTCTGTACAAGCTTTTGCAAGTTTTCAAAGTTGGTGGGATAAGACCCGTCAAATTGTTGTTGAAAGCCGTAAGATTTGCGAGTTGTCCACCCCTGCATAAATTTTTGGGTAATGGACCACTGAGATGGTTATCTCCTAATTGTAATGATTGCAAATGAGTAAGATTGCCGAGCGTTGAAGGAATTGGCCCTGATAAATGATTAGAGTGAAGATATATCGTCATAAGCTTCGACGTGCTTCCTATGGAAGCAGGGATTCAACCAGAGAAATTATTTTGACTCAACTCAAAATCAGTGAGAGATTTAAGCATGCCTATCTCTTGAGGTATCGACCCAGAAAACATATTTTGACCAAGGTAGAGAATGGATATGCTGGTCAAGTTTCCTATGAAAGCGGGGATTGAACCAGAGAAATTATTATAACTCAACTCCAAGTCAGTGAGAGATTTAAGCATCCCTATCTCTTGAGGTATCGACCCAGAAAACATATTTCGATGAAGGTAGAGAGTGGATAGACTGGTCAAGTTTCCTATGGAAGCAGGGATTGAACCAGAGAAATTATTTTGACTCAACTCCAAGTCAGTGAGAGATTTAAGCATGCCTATCTCTTGAGGTATCGACCCAGAAAACATATTTGGATGAAGGTAGAGAGTGGATAGGCTGGTCAAGTTTCCTATGAAAGCAGGGATTGAACCAGAGAAATTATTATAACTCAACTCAAAGTCGGTGAGAGATTTAAGCATCCCTATCTCTTGAGGTATCGGCCCAGAAAACATATTTTGACCAAGGTAGAGAGTGGATAGGCTGGTCAAGTTTCCTATGAAAGCAGGGATTGAACAAGAGAAATTATTATAACTCAACTCAAAGTCAGTGAGAGATTTAAGCATCCCTATCTCTTGAGGTATCGACCCCGAAAACATATTTCGATGAAGGTAGAGAGTGGATAGACTGGTCAAGTTTCCTATGGAAGCAGGGATTGAACCAGAGAAATTATTTTGACTCAACTCCAAGTCAGTGAGAGATTTAAGCATGCCTATCTCTTGAGGTATCGACCCAGAAAACATATTTGGATGAAGGTAGAGAGTGGATAGGCTGGTCAAGTTTCCTATGAAAGCAGGGATTGAACCAGAGAAATTATTATAACTCAACTCAAAGTCAGTGAGAGATTTAAGCATCCCTATCTCTTGAGGTATCGACCCAGAAAACATATTTTGACCAAGGTAGAGAGTGGATAGGCTGGTCAAGTTTCCTATGAAAGCAGGGATTGAACCAGAGAAATTATTATAACTCAACGCAAAGTCGGTGAGAGATTTAAGCATCCCTATCTCTTGAGGTATCGACCCAGAAAACATATTTCGATGAAGGTGGAGAGTGGATAGACTGGTCAAGTTTCCGAGGGAAGCAGGGATTGAACCGCATAGATAGTTATCAAAGAAATAGATCTCGGAAACTGAACTCAGCCTCCCTATCTCTAATGGAATGGAACCACTGATCTCATTACTTGCTAAGGAAATCAACTCAAGACCTTTCAATAAGCAAATTTCGGATGGAATATTCCCCGAAAGGTTATTGTATGACAATTCAAGGAAGGTGAGCTTGGGAAGGTTGCCAATGTGTGAGGGAATGGGCCCATACAGTGAGTTGTTAGGAAGGTTAAGCCTCGTCAGGTTAGGGAAGAAAAGAAAGTTAAGACTATGAAGTGTACCTCTCAACCCATAATCTGGAAGGCTTAGATTGGTGATGCTTTCAGCCTTGTCGCAGGTAATTCCAACCCAGCTGCAATGGCTATCTCCAACCCACAAAGAAGAGAGCAAAGTTTGGGTGTTGTTATTAAGGCTAGCTTTCCATTTTAGAAGAGTTTCCGCTTCTTTACCTCTTGTAAGTGCAGCAATGGAGGATGAAGAAGCAATAAGAGAGGAAGAGTGAAGCAAGACAAGTACGAGGAAGAGCATGACTTTGAATGGTAGTAGGAAAGATGACATGATTTGGATAGTTCAGAAAGGATCTTTTGTTAATTGTTCTAAATTACATGGGCTAGCATGGTCAGGTATTTATGCAGAATAGAAGAACATTTTGGTCACTATGAAACATCAACTTCAAGTGGAAAAATCTAACTTCAAGACTATGTTTAAATTAATTTTGTTAGATGATGATTATTGGTCTTTTAAGTTTAAAGGATGATTCTAGTTTTAGTTTGCTCTTATTATTAATCAAATGTTAAAAAAATCATGATAATTATTTTAAATGAAAATTATATCCTATATTTCAATCAAAATTTTAAGTTCCATAAATGAGTTTATAATATTACTAAATATCATCAGATCATAAATAAAAAATTATGTAAATAAATTAATGAATTAAATATTTTATATAAAATTTTTTAATTTTATAAATAAAATTAAAAAATTGACATGTGCTTTTTAAAAATATATCTAAAAAAATTAATGAATTGATTAATTATTATACAAATATATGCATATAAATCATTTAATATAATCTGTAAAATTTAAAACTTTTATCATCAATTTATGTTAATTAATAATTAAATTGTTAAATGAAGATGCGATAGCTGCATAAACTATAAATCAACAATGAAGTTAATAAATAAGATAATAATTTTAAATTGTATAAATTTTTGTTCGTGTAATTTGGTTCAACTGATCTTTTACCCAATATAATTTTATCCAATTCTTTTGACCTCCAATTTCTAACATATTCATCCTACAAAATAAATTACAGGCTGAAGGATTCGTAAAAGTCATCAACATTATAGTATAATTAAAGATGTCGAATGAGTTAGACAATTCATTATACAACATAATTCGATATGAAATTATTTATGTTTGGCACAATTTGTTTTTAAACAGCTTAATTGGAATTCTAATTGGCAAGGCAAATTAATATATATGTACAATATTATGCCTAAAAAGGATATAAATAAAAATTAATTCAAGTGCAATAAAAATGGACCTGGCTACGCTCATAGTAATTTATTTTACTTAAGTTTTTATTTCTATTGAGAATATGTTTTAACTTCATTTGATTTTTTTTAATAAAATATAATAATTAATGATAACTTTTGTATATATTTTTAAAATTCTTTTAATTATTTAAAATTAAAATATATTAAACATGTAATTATTTAAAATTATTATTTTATTTTTAAAATAATTAATTTTTATTATTTAATTTATTCTTATTTTATAAACAATTTGATAAATTTAATTCATACATAAAATTAGAAATTAAATAAATAAAAATGTGCCAGATAGATAAAATTATAATTTATATACAATAGTCTAGTACAAAAAATATAGTTTAATATTCAAAAAGATTATGATTTTCAAAAAATTATAATCTAATATATAAATGGACTACAATTTTTTAAAAAATCATAGTCTATGTAGATAAAATTATAGTTTAATATACCTAAAAACTTTGATTTTTGAAAAAATCAGTCTAATAATAAAAAAAACTAATTTTTTAAAAAATCGTAATCTAATATTAAAAAACTGTAATTTTTTTTTTCGAGTACCCTAGCTGCCCCACCCCAGTCAACTTTCTTTCTCTTTTTCCACCATAATAAAGAAACGAAAAGAAAAGAAAATTAGAAACATCTCAATTGACGTCAATGTCAATCGGTGGAAGACTTCAGAAGTCTTTCGACAAGTCTTTCACGTTATTCATGATTTCCGTGGTCTAACAATCACTTTGGATTTTTTTGGTCTTTAAAATTAGTTTTAAGGAAATTGATTATTATAATAGAAAAATTAAATTTAGTGGTAGAATTTGGATATGAATACAATAACGATGATGCCAACAAGTTTTCACCACATTTATAACTTGCGGTCTTGAGTTGACTCCTGTGTGTACTACATTTATTAGAATATTAGTGCCATGAACACGTTAGTATATTAGTCTTTGTGGAAATTAACTTGAAAGGGGTTGAATGAATACCTGAACATTAACGTTGGCCAATATAATTTATACATAATAATTAACAAAATATTCCTGTGAACTATCCAAATCATGCCTTTTATTTTTTATTTTTCATTGATCAATTATCTATTTAAAACATTTATTGGAGAGTTAAATCCTAATAAAATACATTTAATTTTTAAACATTATTATATAAATGTCATGAAAATTATAATTGATTTATTCATTGTTCGCATTGCACTGATTTAAAACCAGAATAAGAGTAAAATATGTACCGCTCACACCCTACTTGCCCCATCCTAGTTAATTGCCTTTCTCCTTCTCCCACCATAATAAAGAAAAAAAAAACAACGTAAGAAAGGAAAAGAGAAGAAAAAGTGGAGCCATCTTAAATTGATGCCAATGTCCATTGGAGGAAGACTTGAGAAGTCTTTCAAGGAGTGTTTTACGTCATTCATGATTTACATGGTTTTTCAATGATTTGATCTCACCCTAATCTGGACTCAATCAATGCCGACAAGTTTTCACCACATTCATGACTTATAGTCTTGAGTTGACTCGTGCGTGTACCGCATTTACTCATATATTTGTCTTCGTGCAAATTAGCTGGAAATGGGTTTAGCCATGTTATCCATGCTAGCCAATGTAATTTATACTTAAATAATTAACAAAATATATATTCCTTTGAACTATCCAAATCGTGGCTTTTTTCTTATATATTCCTTTGAACTATCCAAATTATGGCTTCTTTCTTAATATCATTCCAAGTCTTGTTTTTCTCATGCTTGTGTCGGTTTAGCCATCTTACGTTTATCTAAATGAAATTATAAAATATTATTTTTTATTTAATAAAACCTAATTTTACATGAAAACTTAAGGAAATTTCAACATTTTACAGGTTCAAACTAAAATTTTAATATTTTAATATAGTAGGTTCATCGTTAGTATTAAATTACGCAATTCCTTTATTTAGGATTATTACAGAATTTTAATAATTACAAGAAAACAAAACTTTTGAACATGAACATTTAGCTAATAATAAGTGCATATATGTTGTAAATATTTAATTTTTTCCTGGTCGATTCAAATTTATTTAATTTTTTATGTTTAATGTCAATATTCTTATTTGGGCTAACTTAAGCGTTTAAATTGAATTTAGTTCCTGTGGGTTTATTTCAAATTAATTATTTCTTTCATTTTACATGGACCAAAGCTCAGTCCAATTCAATTTGGGATAATTTGAAATTAGGCCATAAGGCCTTAAAAGACCAAAGTCTAAAAGCAAAATTTAAAACCCAAAGTTGATAGTGAAGACCTAAAATACATTTTAAGGCCCAAGAATTCAAAAGGCTTAAATTTATTTAACTATTTTAATTAAATGAGAAATTAGACCAAAAAAAGAAGCAAGAGCACAAACTGAAGTCGGCACTACCAGCAATCACTACCCCACACCCTTTGTCATAATATATAAATCCGTGAACCTATTGTTAGATATAAATCTTAAGGAGTCATCACCAATTTTTTTTATTTAGATACTATTGGTCACTTAACTAAATCTATCTCATTTAAAAAAGAAGTCTCAAATTTGACTTATGTATCTTTAAATAGTATATTTTAATCTTTGAAACCAGATTTAGGTATAAACTTCCATTTTCCACTCTGGCAAAATTGCTTAATCTGAAAACCTTGATAAATGAATGCTTGTTTTCTCTATTGCTATTTCAGTTATCAATTGCTTGATTAGCTTTACACATCATGGAAACTAAAATTTTCCCAAGGGAAATCAGTATAGCATTGTTCTTTTATGTCTCTCTTGCCACTTTCATGAATTTGTTTGGTGTTTCAATCTGTTCTGTATACTCTTTCTTCTGCTGCTTTTTCTTTTTGTTGCCGACAATGATCTAATTCCGACCTTGATGAATGAATTTCACATTGCAGCTAGCAAAGATGATCTGATTCCACCTTTGCCTGTTCTCAACCGATATAGAAAAGAAGCTGGAATAAAGGCTTTTGTGAAGAAGGAACTATTTGATTCTAGGCTGCCAGATCAGAAAAGGTCCATTGAAATTAATGTCCTGACAACACCAACCCTATGTGTTCCGTTGAATACTTTATATGTGAGTTCTTCATTTTGTCCTCGTTGTTAGCACATGTCTGGATGACTTTGCCTTTCTTTCTTTCTCTTTTTTTTTGGGTGGGGGTGGGAGGGAGGGGGTGTTCAGGATTGGTGCAAATGGATTTTTCTTTTGATCAATAATGATTAATTAATGTTCATGTTTTGGTAGTTGCTGCTGCTTGATGCATAGTTGAAATAATCTTTCTGTGATTCATTATCACTGGTGGTAGGATTATTTGTTTTTCCCTTACGTTTGTAAGCATATTTTATGCACTCTAACCATTGAAGACTGCAAAGT